ATATTATTCTCTATTTTGTTAGAAGAACAAATTGAAATTCAAATTCTTAGTTATTGTTCAAAAATTTTTATTGAATAAACATAAGGACAGATTTTTGATTTTTCAATTTTCCGATTTTTTGATTTTTTAAAATTTCAATTTTAATGAATTTGTCCTTTTGTTGAAAAATTGAGAAAATAAAGAATTAAAAATAAAGTACTTCTATGTACTAGTATGTAATTCCGAATTATTTTGTTTCTTAAATTTTTTGATTTCTCAATTCGAGATTTTTATATTTTTCGTTTTTTTAGTTGATAATCTTTCGATTTTTCCGTGTTTCAATTTCTCCATTTTTTAGTTTTTGGATTTTCATAATGTAATTGTTACATTTTTCAGTAAAATTTTTGTATTTTTTTATTTTTTATGTGTTGAATTTTACAATTTTTCGGGTTTTCGATTTTTCAATTCCTACATTTTTATTTCATCACTTTTTCAAGGTTTCAATGTTACAAATTTTTCGATATTTCAAGTTTGCTTTTTCAATTTTTGTTTTTCAATTTTTCATTTCTTCAATTTTTCCATTTTTATTTTTTTTTCGAATTTACAATTTTGTAATTGTTCCATTTTTAAATTTGCCGATTTTTAATTAATTTTTGGCTTTTCCATTCTGCGATTTTTCAGTTTGTGTATTTTTTGAATTCTTTGATTAATTTTAAATTTTTTGGGTTTTCAGTGCTTCGTTTCTTCGATTTTTTAGTTTTTCCATGTTTCGTTTTTACAATTTCTTAATTTTTTAGTTTTCTGGTTTTCATTTTAAAATTTTTGAATTTAGGAACTATTTTTTTTGTATTATTGATTGTTTAATTTATAGAAGTCTTTGTTTTTCGTTTTTTCAATTTTTCACTGTCTTAATTTTTAATTAATCAGGGTTTTCAGGTTTCAATATTATAATTTTTCGATTTTTCCATGTTTCTTTTTTACAATGTCTTAATTTTTTAGTTTTCCGGTTTTCATTTTAAAATTTTTGGATTTTGAAATTCAATTTTTTTTGTATTTTTGATTGTTTAATTTATGGAAGTTTTGTTTTTCTTTTTTTTCAATTTTTCATTTTCTCGATTTTTAATTAATCAGGGTTTTCAGGTTTTAATATCACAATTTTTCGATTTTTCAATTGTTTTAACTTTTTAATTATTCGATTTTGTTACAATTGTTTTTTTGTTGAAAAATTAAAAAAAGAAAAATTGAGAAAATCAAAAATTAAAAATAATACTTCGAAGTAGGTAATTCCAAATTGTTTTGTTTCTTCGATTTTTTGATTTCTCAATTCTAGATTTTTATATTTTTGGTTTTTTTAATTGACAATTTTTAGATTTTTCCGTGTTTCGATTTCTCCATTTTTTAGTCTTTCCATTTTCATCATGAAATTTTTGGATTTTTCGATTTTCTAATTTGCTTTTGAATTTTTCGATTTTCTGTCTGTTGAATTTTGCTATTTTTCGGTTTTTCGATTTTTCAATTCTTAGATTTTTAATTTATCACTTTTTCAGGTTTCAGTGTTAAAAATTTTCGATTTTACAGTTTCTATCTTTTTCTCAGTTGTTCCATTTTTTGGTTGTTTTTTTCCTTACCCAATTTTCAGTTCGCCAATTTTTTCAATTTTTTGATATTTCAAGTTTGGTTTTTCAATTTTTGATTTCCCCAATTTTTCCATTTTTGTTTAAATTTACAATTTTGTAATTGTTTCATGTTTAAATATGCCGATTTTTAATTTTTCACTTTTTTCAAATAATGATTAGGGTTTTAGTTATTCAATTTTTGGCTTTTCCATTTTCCGATTTTTTCAATTCTTCGATTACTCAACTTTTAAATTTTTCGGTTTTTCACTGTTTCGTCTTTTCCATGTTTCGCTTTTACAATTTCTTAATTTTTTAGTTTTCCGGTTTTCATTTTAAAATTTTTGAATTTTAATTTTTTTTTATTTTTGATTGTTTAATTTATAGAAATTTTTGTGTTTCGTTTTTTCAATTTTTCACTTTCTCGATTTTTAACTAATCAGGGTTTTCAGGTTTCAATATTATAATTTTCCGATTTTTCAATTGTTTTTCCAATTATTCCATTGTTCAATTTCTGAACTTTTTCATTTTTCCATTTTTGAATTTTTAAATTTTTCGATATTTCAAGTTTCATTTTTCAGTTTGTAAGTGTCATTTTTGGGTTTTTTCAAGTTTTCTTTATTTTTTTCTATTCTTCGGTTTCTCAATTCTTTGATTTTTCAATTCAATTTAAAATGTCGGTTTGAATAAATTTGTCATTTTGTTGAACAATTAAAAAATGAAAAATCGAGAATTTGAAGAATTTTATATCGAAAAATTGCAGAATTGCTTCGTTTTGTCGATTTTTCAATTTCCCGATTTTTAATTAATCAGGGTTTTGAGGTTTCAATATTAGAATTTTTCGATTTTTCAATTATCCAATTCAATTTCTCAATTTTTTTACATTTCGATTTTTCAATTTTTCGATATTTCAAGTTTTATTTGAAAATCTTTGGATTTTGAAATTAAAACTTTTTAGATTTTTGATTATCTAATTTATGGACATTTTCGTTTTTCAATTTTTCATTTCTCGGTTTTTAATTAATCAGGGTTTTCAGGTTGCAATAATACAATTTTTCGATTTTTCAATTGTTTTAGCCTTTTAATTAATCGATTTTGAGTTTCTTTATTTTTTTAATTCTTCGATATCTCAATATTTAAATTGTTGAGTTTTTCAGTGTTTATTTTTCGATTTTTCAGTTTTTAACTTTTTGATTTTTGAATTTTTCAGTGAAACAATTTTCCGATTTTTTGATTTTTTAAAATTTCAGTTTAATAAATTTGTCCTTTTGTTGAAAAATTAAAAAACGAACAATTGCAAAAATAAAAATTTAAAACCGAAGTACATACATCCAAGTAGGTAATTCCAAATTATTTTGTTTCTTCTACTTCTCTTTCTCATTTCTTCTATTTTTCGTTTTTTTAATTGATAATGTTTTTATTTTTCCGTGTTTCGATTTCTCCATTTTTTAGTTTTTGATTTTCATTACGAAATTGTTGCATTTTTCATAAATTTTTTGTATTTTTCGATTTTCTAATTTGCTTTTGAATTTTTCGATTTTCTATCTGTTGAATTTTACAATTTTTGGTTTTTTCGATTTTTCAATTCCTAGTGTTGCATTTCCGGAAGCGGCCACTGACCCTTTTGGGTATCTTTACCTGAATTTGTAAATAGCACTGTAATTTTAGTACTTCTGTAACCGTCCTACATTAAACATCAAAACCGAACGCTGTCCATTATTTCAATTATAACAAACAAAGGTTCTTCGAGCATTATCAAGGTACAATTCGGGAGACCATACATGGTCGTATCAACCGGATTACAAAAAACGTTGGTACTACGATTCGGATTGTACGAAACATTGGCATTCAAGCCGGAACATTGGTCTTCGAGCCGAAACACCTAGATTATTATTATTTATCACTTTTTCAGGTTTCAGTGTTACAAATTTTCCATTTTAGAGTTTCTAACTTTTTCTCAGTTGTTCCATTTTTTAATTGTTTTTTCCTTACCCGATTTTTAGTTTGCCAATTTTTTCAATTTTTCAATATTCCAAGTTTGGTTTTCAATTAAAAATTTCGGTTTGAATAAATTTGAAAAAAATCGAGAATTTGAAGAATTTTATATCGAAAAATTGCAGAATTGCTTCGTTTCGTCGGTTTTTCAATTTCTCGATTTTTAATTAATCAGGGTTTTGATTTTTGATTTTTTCCTCGCACCCTCGAAATTTACAAAAAGCCATTTTTTGTTGATTTCGATGTCTAAATGGTTTTTTAGAAATTTTCGAAGGAATGAAGCTAAACGAAACTTCTTGACTTTCAAAATTAACGAAAAATTTCTTCTCGTGAATAAATCAGAAATTATTGTCCACGCAAAATTCTGGGAGGTGATTTTTAAAATGTCCCAAAAATTTGAAGCCAATTAAGAATCCACAAAAGTTTCTCGAATACAGTTCTCAACGCGCTGAATCGAAAAATCGAACCATATTTTTTTGGGTTTTTCTGGATAAATGATAATGATACATTTTCGAATGAATGAAGCCGTGGTTCTAAGATGATAATTGTTAAAAAAGACACCTGTATTGTTGTTGTCCCAAAATCTTTATTGAATACACATAAGGACAGATTAAATATGTGCATCGAACTATTACTTGACGACATTTAAGCGCCATTGTAGTACATACACTTGAAGGTTTTGAAGGCTGTGTCTTCCAGCGTTTCCCCTTTCGAAACGCATTTCTTGACGACTTCATCTGCCTTTTCATCGCTACCAACTCCTTCTTTAACAAATTTTTTCAAAGCTGCTTTATTGTAAGTACCATCTTTGTTTAGCCATCCAGCTGTGGTATGTATGCAGAGCGTGTGTTTTCGTAGTGGTTCATTCTTCTCATACTTTGAAACATCATCAATTTTATGACTGATAAGGTTGTCGATAAGTTGGGGAGAGACTTTTGATTCTTTTTCGCACTTTTTGGTGAAGGCGCTAATATCAGATGCTTGCTCCTCATCTAGTGCCTTAAATAAATCATACGTGAGAGAGCTTGTAGGTTGAAGGTGGTTAAATTTTACTCACCTGTGAATACACCACAAGTGTGGTAAGAAGTAAGTAGGTAGGAAGCTTCATTTTTCGATGGTTGCTGCTCTAGGTATGCCGTTACTGCCACCAAAACATGGCCTATTTATACCTTGGTGCGGAATTATCAATTTACTTATAATTGAGGACTTACGAGTAATTATAGTGTAACTACATAGTGCCGCAATGCCCCTGTAGACCTTTCAGGATTTTTATGCTGATAAAGTTTACATTATTAAGGAAAAATGCGCTTTAAGTCATTTCCAAAGTTTAAAAAAACTCTATATATGGTTTTGGAGAATAAATTTCTCATTACAGTTGTCCCAAAATCTTTATTGAAGGACATAAAAGGACATGTGCATTAAACTACTACTTGAACATAGTTAAACGCCGTTGTTGTACAAACACTTGAAGGCCTGATAAGACGTCTCTTCCTGGGTGTCCTTGTTCACAACGCATTTCTTGACGAGTTCGTCCACCCTTTCATTACTTATTTTCCCATCTTTAAGAATTTTTTTCCAGGCTTTAATGTTCAAGGTACCATCCTGATTATACCATCCACCTGTGGTATCAACGCATGCCAGATATTCATGTAGTGGTTTATTGTTGTCATACACCGAAATATCAGGAATTTTGTGGTTGAAAAGGTCGTCGACAAGTTGTTTAGAGACTTTTGTCTTGTTTTCACACGTTTTGCTGGCGGAGTCAAGATCAACTTCTTGCTTTCCAGTTAAGGCCTTAAATCAATAATACATAAAACGCAATTTCGTACGCTGTAAGTGGTCAAATTTTACTAACCTGGGAATACACCACAAGTGTGGTAAGGATTAAGTAGGTCGGAAGCTTCATTTTTCGGTAGTTGCTGCTGTAGTTATGGCGCTATAATGCGGACATTTATGTGCAGAAATTCGTAACATTTGTACTGACTCGCCAGGAATTTGCATTCTTATGGAAACAATGAAAGCGCTTTAGATTATTTTGCAAATTTCAACGTTTTTAGTAGTTGTAGGGGAACGAGGGGCTTGTTGTAACAGTTTTTAGGAAAGCGAATATAATTTGGTATCTATTAGCTGTTTGACCATTATAAAAGTATCTATCGGTAGTCTAACTATTCCCCTATTGGACTGAACAGGCAAAAGGTCAAAATTGTTCATCTTCACTTCACACCAGGCATTTTCTTAAAAAAAGTGCATTGTTACAACTTGCCCCGTGGTTGGGGCTAGTTGTAACAGCCATCATACAGGTAGTACCAGTAAAAATAAAGCTGATGTTGATACATATTTAGACTTTATTTTTGAAAAATCAACACAACACTTCATTATATACAATTTTTTTTCAGTAAAACTGAAATAAACTTTTAGAAAAAGAGTTAACATTAAAAATTTGAGTGTTGTCTTCCTTTTTCTTAATATATCTGGAAAGCGATACATGGCATAGGTCAAAATTTTGGCTCGCTTTTCGTATGCTAGGTATGAGATTTGTAGAAGTGAATTTGGGATAAGTTGTAACATGTTACAACTTGCATCAAAGCTATTGTTACAACATGCCCCGTAACACAATTTTCTACATTTAATTACATTTCGTCAAAATTATGTGGCTTAGCGTCAAAATGTGTAAGGAATATCAAAGCTGAGTAATTTTTGAGCTACATGCAAAACTAAAAGTTTTAAATTAATTAATAACTGATACGAAAAACCAAATTTTACTAAAGCAATATTTTACATTACTTGGCCAAAACGAGACACGTGCACACATCCACTTACTGCGCTGGCTCAAGGAACAGTGGTTGTGATGACATGATGACTTATGGTGCAAGAATTAAATTCAGTAAAATACCTGACGTTAAAGAGTTTAAATTGTGGGTAAAAATTTAGTGTTACAACTTACCCCTGTTACAACAAGCCCCTAGTTCCCCTACAATAGAAAAAAAATTCGTGGTCTGTTCTTGAGGAGTATAATTAAACTTATAATACTAAGTATCCTACAATGTTAAGCAAGTTAGCAGCAAGTTTATTGGTTTCATCTGTATGGTCTGGATTTTAAGATTCTTAGCTTTTCGATTTTAGGATTTCTCAGTTTCTCGATTATTATTTGGTCAGTTTTTTCAGATTCCAATGTTATAATTTTTAGATTGACAGTTTGTCGTTTTTTCGATTTTTTTAAAGACTTTTTTTGATTTTACAAATTAATTTTCGATTTTTAATTTTACAGTTTTTCAATGTTTATTTTGACATTCTTCAACTTTTGAATTTCACAATTTGTCGATTTTTCTATTTCTTGAAAATTTCGTTTTCCTTGTTTTTATAGTTTCTTTTTTTTTTCTCAATTTTTCCAATTTTCAGTTGTTTTTTCAATTATTGAAGTTTTCGGTTTCTCAAGGTTTAAGATTAAAATTTTTAAATTTCTGGGTGTTTCAAATTTCGATTTTTCTATTTTTGATTATCAATTTTGGAATTGTTCGATGTTTATGTTTTTTAAATTTTCAGTTTTTTTTAAGGTTATAATTTTTCCTTTTCCGATCGTTGATTTCGTAATTATTCGATTTTGAGTTTCTTTATTTTTGCAGTTCTTCGATTTCACAATTTTTAAATTGTTCGGTTTTTCACTGTTTCTTTTTCGATTTTTCAGTTTTTAATTTTTTGGTTTTTCATTTTTTCAGTTTTATAATTATCCGATTTTTTGATTTTTTAAAATTTCACTTTTATTAAGGACTTCCAAATATGTAATTCCAAGTTTTTTCGTTTCTTCGATTTTTTACTTTCTCAGTTCGGGATTTTTAAATTTTTGTTTTTTTAATTGTTAATTTTTCGATTTTCCCGTGTTTCGTTTTTACATTTTTTTGACTTCTCGATTTTTTAGTTTTTCGATTTTCTTTATGATTTTTATTTTTCAGTAAAATGTTTGTACTTTAATTTTTCGATTTTCCATCTTTTTACAATTTTTAATTTATCAGTTTTTCAGGTTTCAATGTTACAAATTTTTCGATTTTACGTTTTTATTTTTTTTTCAAATTTACAGTTTTGTAATTGTGTGATTTTTAAATTTCCCTGATCCTAATTTTTCACTTTTTTCAAATAATTATTATTAGGATTTTTTTCAAGTGTACAATTCTTGGCTTTTCAGTTTCTGTATTTTTTCAAATCTTTGATTTCTCGGTTTTAAATTTTTCGGTTTTTCACTGTTTCGTCTTTTCGATGTTACAATTTTTCAATTTTTCCATGTTTCTTTTTCACAATGTCTGAATTTTTTAGTTTTCCGGTTTTCATTTTAAAATTTTTTGATTTTGAAATTATTTTTTATTGTTTAATTTATAGAAGTTTTTGTTTTTCGTTTTTTCAATTATTCACTTTCTCTAATTTTTAATTAATCAGGGTTTTCAGGTTTCAATATTACAATTTTTCGATTTTTCAATTGTTTTAACCTTTTAATTATTCGATTTTGAGTTTCTTGTTTTTTTTTTAATTTTTCGATATCTCAATTTTTAAATTGTTGGGTTTTTCAGTGCTTCTTTTTCGATTTTTCAGTTTTTAATTTTTTGATTTTTCAATTTTTCAGTGTTACAATTTTACGATTATTTTATTTTTTAAAATTTCAGTTTTAATAAATTTGTCCTTTTGTTGAAAAATTGAGAAAATAAAGAATTAAAAATAAAGTACTTCCAAGTCGGTAATTCCAAATTATTTTGTTTCTTCAAATCTTTGATTTCTCAATTCGAAATTTTTGTGTTTTTCCTTTTTTTAATTGATAATTTTTCGGTTATTCCTTGTTTCGATATCTCGATTTTTTAGCTTTGGGCCTTTCATTATGAAATTGTTGCATTTTTCAGTAAAATTTTTGTAGTTTTCGATTTTAGTTATTTTAGTGTTTTCATTTTCTAATTTGCTTTTTAATTTTTCGATTTTCTATCCGTTGAATTTTACAATTTTTCATTTTTTTTGGATTTTTCAATTCCTAGATTTTTAATTTATCATTTATTCAGGTTTCAATGTTACAAATTTTCGATTTTACAGTTTCTATCTTTTTCTCACTTGTTCCATGTTTTAATTGTTTTTTCCTTACCCAATTTTCAGTTTGCCAATTTTTTCAATTTTTCGATATTTCAAGTTTGGTTTTTCAATTTTTAATTTTCAATTTTCGATTTCTTCAATTTTTCCATTTTTAATTTTTTTTTTCAAATTTTCAATTTTGTAATTGTTTCATTTTTAAAATTTACCGATTTTTTAATTTTTCAGGTCTATGGTTTTAAAATTTTTAAATCTTGAAGTTAATTTTTTTTTATTGTTGATTGTTTAATTTATAGAAGTTTTTGTTTTTCGTTTTTTCAATTCTTCACTGTTTCGATTTTTAATTAATTAGGATTTTCAGGTTTCTATATTACAATTTTTTGATTTTTCAATTGTTTTTTTTAATTATCCCATTGTTCAATTTCTCAATTTGTTCCTTTTTTGATTTTTCAATTTCTAAATTATTCGATGTTTCGAGTTTCATTTTTCAGTTTGTAGATCTCATTTTTGGGTTTTTTCAAGTATTCTTTATTTTTTCAGTTCTTCGATTTCTTAGTTTTTTGATTTTTCTATTCAATTGAAAATTTCGGTTTGAATAAGTTTGTCCTTTTGTTGAACAATTAAAAAATGACAAATCGAGAAAATGAAAAAAAATCGAAAATTTGAAAAATTTCATATCGAAAAATTGTAGAATTTTTTCAATTTTTCAATTTCTCAATTTTAAATTGTTTTGTTTTTTGATATTTGAGTGTTACAATTTTCCGGTTTTTCAAAAGTTCAGTTTGAATAAATTTGTCCTTTGTTGAACAATTAAAAAATGCAAAATCGAGAAAATGAAAAATTAAAAATCGAGAATTTGAAAAATTTAATATCGAAAAATTGCAGAATTGCTTCTTTTGTAGATTTTTCAGTTTATCGATATTTAATGAATCAGGGTTTAATTCAATTTTTCATTTTTTCATTTTTCGATTTGTCGAATTTCATTTTCCAATTTTTGATTCTCATTTTTTCGGTTTTTTCAATTTTTCTTTATTTTTTCAATTCTTCGACTTCTGAATTTTTAAATTTTTTGATTTTTCAATTTTATAATTTTTAGACGTTTCAATGTTACAATTTTCTGATTTTAAAATTTTTCAAAATTTCGGTTTGAATAAATTTGTCCTTTTGTTGAACAATTAAAAAATGAAAAATCGAGAATTTGAAAAGTATTATATCGAAAAATTGCAGAAATGCTGCGTTTTGCCGATTTTTCAATTTCTCGATTTTTAATTGTTGCATTTTTCAATTTTTCGGTGTCTCGATTTTCATTTTTAAAATTTTGGTATTCGTCATTGTTTCAATGATACAATTTTCCGATTTTCCAATAATTTAGTTTGGATAAATTTGTTCTTTTGCTGAAAAATAAAAAAACACGAAATTTAACAATTAAAAAACTAAAAGATTAAAACTCAAAAAATTATAAAATCGGAGAACTAACAAAGCAAAAATGCAATAATTAAAAAATCGTAAAATCGAAAACTGAAGAATCTGTAAAATTAACAAATCAGTGCCGATTAAAAAAATGCTCCCACACAATAATAAATATAAAAACAAATCGTATGGTTTTCCCTAGAGTTAATTAATTTTTTAGACTACAAGTGCTAAAATTTTACTAACATTTCATTTTTCAATCGTTGGTGCTGTAGTTATGATAACTGCGCACTTAATTATAGTGTACAAAGTTTCCTAACATTCGTCAGACTCTTCGGGAATTTGCGCTGATAAAGTTTGCATTCTTATGGAAACAATGAAAAGTGCTTTAAATTATTTTGCAAAATTTCAATTTTTTTAGTAGAACAGGCTGATAAAGTTTGTAATCTTATGTAAACAGTGAAAATACTTTAAATTGTTTTGCAAATTCCAAAAAGGATCACACGTGGTTTAAAAATGTTGGGTACTACACTGATATAAGCGATTTAAATATTCAGAACATTTTGTTCGATTTTGGTTTAATTAATAATTTTAGTCCAGTATTTTGAGAAGACAAAGTCATTCAAATCAAACTATTTCCTACGTGACATTCTTTCGATGTAAGTATAAACATAAATAAACACTTGAGCGTCAGATTGCTATTACCTAGTGTTGAAGGACAAGGGTTGTTAGAGACGGATTATTTTAAGTTCAACATGGTGAGTCATTAGAATCTGACAACGGACTGTCAGTCAGTAGCGTAACATGCACACTCATGGAATTCTCATTTTGCAGATAATTGGGGCCTAATTATAGTGTACACAGTTCTATAACGTCTGTACAGACTCTCCAGGTATTTTACGCTGAGTGCATTTTTATGGAAACGGCGAAAACAATTTTTTTATCGTAGAGGAATTTTACTCTGATAAATTTTGCATTGTTATAAAAACAGTGACGACGTTAAATTATTTCGCAAATTCCAAAATGTCAATAAAGGATTGTACAAAAGAATAAAATTTACTTGTTTCTGTAAACCCTCTTTCCAAAGACGATAAGAAACTAGTACATAATATACGTGTTAAAGGAATTTTAACCACAATTTCAGAAAAATTCAAAAATTTGAATCAAATTACACAAGGAACTTGCACAATAGGACAAAAATTTGTGGTCTGTTTTTGAGGAATGTATTTTTAATAGTGAATAAAAAGCAATAAACAATACACTTTGAAGAGATTTTTTTCCCAAGAACAAATTCTTAGTTATTGTTCCAAATTCTTCATTATCAAAGTACTACTTGAAGATAATTAAACGCCGATGTTGTACAAACACTTCAAGACATGAAAAGACGTATCTTCCAGCGTTTCCTTTTTCACAACGCATTTCTTGATGGCTTCTTCTGCTTCTTCGCAATTTAGATCTCCTTTTTGAAGCCATTTCTTCAAAGATTTAGTGTTGTAAGTACCATCTTGATTCAACCATCCGGCTTTGGTATCTACACATACAGCAAATTCACGTAATTGTTTATTGTTCTCATATGCCGAAACATCACAAATTTTGCGGTTGAAAATGTCGTCGACGAGTTGTTTGGAGACTTTGGTCTCTTCTTGACACTCTTTGTTGGCCGTGATAATATCAGATTGTTGCTGACTACTTAGTCCCTTAAATAAATACAAAAAAAATTAATTGAAATAAAATTACGAGTGGTAAAATTTTACTAACCTGGGAATACACCACAAGTGTGATAAGGATTAAGTAGGTCGGAAGCTTCATTTTTCGGTAGTTGCTGCTGTAGTTATGGCGCCAGTTACACCAGGACAGATTTTTTATACCTCCACTGCGGAATTCTAATTTTGCACATAAGTGCGCATTTTATGTGCAAAAATTCGTAACATTGGTACGGACTCGCCAGGAATTTGCATTCTTATGGAAACAATGATTATTTTGCAAATTTCAACGATTTTTCCGTGTTTCAATTTTTTTTTTTCAAATTTACAATTTTGTAATTGCTTCTCAATTTTTAATTTTTTACTTTTTCAAGTGTACAATTCTTGGCTTTTCTATTACCCGATTTCTCAGTTTCTATATTTTGTCAAATCTTTGATTTCTCGGTTTTTCTCTGTTTCGTCTTTTCGATGTTACAATTTTTCAATTTTTCCATTTTTTTACAATGTCTTAATTTCTTAGTTTTCCGGTTTTCATTTTAAAATTTTTGGATTTTGAATTTTTTTTTTTGTATTTTTGATTGTCCAATTTATAGAAGTTTTGTTTTTCATTTTTTCAATTATTCAGTTTCTCGTTGTTTAATTAATGAGCGTTTTCAGGTTTCAATATTACAATTTTTCGATTTTTCAATTGTTTTAACTTTTTAATTATTCGATTTTGAGTTTCTTTATTTTTTAATCCTTCGATATCTCAATTTTTAAATTGTTGGGTTTTTCGTGTTACAATTTTCCGATTTTTTTGATTTTTAAAAATTCCAGTTTTAATAAATTTGTCCTTGTGTTGAAAAATTAAAAAACGAAAATTGAGAAAATAAAAAATTAAAAATAAAATACTTCCAAGTAGGTAATTCCAAATTATTTTGTTTCTTCGATTTTTTGATTTCTCAATTCGAGATTTTCATATTTTTCGTTTTTTAATTCATAATTTTTCGATTTTTCCGTGTATCGACTTCTCCATTTTTTAGTTTTTCGATTTTCTAATTTACCTTTTAATTTTTCGATTTTCTGTCTCTTGAATTTTACAATTTTTCTATTTTTCGATTTTTCAGTTATTAGATTTTTAATTTATTACTTTTTCAGGTTCCAATTTTTTCAATTTTTCGATGTTTCAAGTTTGGTTTTCCAATTTTTGACTTTAAATTTTTTATTTCTTCAATTTTTCCATTTTTTATTTATTTTTTTTTCAAATTTAAAATTTGGCAATTGTTTCAATTTTAAATTTGCCGATTTTAAATTAATTTTGCACTCTTTTTTGAAGTAATTATTAGGGTTTTTGTTATTCAATTTTTGGCTTTCCCATTTTGCGATTTTTCAGTTTCTGTATTTTTTCAATTCTTCGATTTCTCAACTTTTAAATTTTTCGGTTTTTCAGTGCTTCGTTTTTCGATGTTAGAAATTTTTAATTTTTCCATGTTTCGTTTTTACAATTTCTTAATTTTTTAGTTTTCTGGTTTTCATTTTAAAATGTTTGAACTTTGAAATACATTTTTTTTGTATTTTTGATTGTTTAATTTATGGAAGATTTGTTTTTCGATTTTCAATTTTTCGTTTTCTCGATTTTTACTTAATCAGGGTTTTCAGGTTTTAATAGTACAATTTTTCGATTTTTCAGTTGTTTTAAGTTTTTAATTAATCGATTTTGCGTTTCTTTATTTTTTTAATTCTTCGATATCTCGGTTTTTAAATTGTTGGGTTTTTCAGTATTACAATTTTCCGATTTTTTGATTTTTAAAAATACCAGTTTTAATAAATTTTTCCTTTTGTTGAAAATTTAAAAAGTGAAAAATTAAGAAAACAAAAAATTAAATATAAAGTACTTCCAAGTAGGTAATTCCAAATTATTTTGTTTCGATTTTTTATTTTCTCAATTAGAGATTTTTAAATTTTTGGTTTCTTTAAATGTTAATTTTTCGATTTTTCCGTTTCGTTTTAAATTTTTCGATTGCTCGATTTTTTAGTTTTTCGATTTTCATTATTATTTTTATTTTTCAGTAAAATTTTTGTATATTTTGATTTTTAAATTTGCAGATCTTTTAATTTTGCGATTTTCCAAGTTGCTTTTTAATTTTTCGATTTTCCATCTTTTTACAATTTTACGTTTTTATTTTATTTTCAAATTTACAATTTTGTAATTGTTTGATTTTTAAATTTCCTTATTTTTAATTTTTCACTTTTTTCAAATAATTATTATTAGGATATTTTTTCAAGTGTACAATTCTTGGCTTTTCAATTACCCGATTTTTCGTTTCTGTACTTTCTCAAATCTGATTTCTCGGTTTTTAAATTTTTCGGTTTTTCACTGTTTCGTCTTTTCGATGTTACAATTTTTCAATTTTTCCATGTTTCTTTTTTACAATACTTTGTATTTTTGATTATTTAATTTATAGAAGATTTTGTTTTTCGTTTATTTCAAATGTTCATTTTCTCAATTTTTCATTAATCCGGGTTTTCAGGTTTCAATATTACAATTTTTCGATTTTTCAGTTATTTTAACCTGTTAATTATTCGATTTTGAGTTTTTTTACTTTTTTAATCCATTTTTAATAAATTTGTCCTTTCGTTGAAAAATTAAAAAATGAAAAATTGAGAAAACAAAAAATCAAATATAAAGTACTTCCAAGTAGGTAATTCCAAATTATTTTGTTTCTTCGATTTTTTGATTTCTCTCATTCGAGATTTTTATATTTTTTGTTTTTTTAATAGATAATTTTTCGATTTTTCCGTGTTTCGATTTCTCCATTTTTCATTATGAAATTGTTGCATTTTTCAGTAAAATTTTTGTATTTTTCGATTTTCTATCTGTTGAATTTTACAATTTTTCGTTTTTTGGATTTTTCATTTCCTAGATTTTTAATTTATCATTTATTCAGGTTTCAATGTTACAAATTTTCGATTTTACAGTTTCTATCTTTTTCTCACTTGTTCCATGTTTTAATTGTTTCTTCCTTACCCAATTTTCAGTTTGCCAATTTTTCTAATTTTTCGATATTTCAAGTTTGGTTTTTCAATTTTTAATTTTCAATTTTCGATTTCTTCAATTTTTCCATTTTTAATTTTTTTTTTCAAATTTACAATTTTGTAATTGTTTCATTTTTAAAATTTACCGATTTTTCAATTTTTCAGGTTTTTGGTTTTGAAATATTTTAATTTTGAAGTTATTTTTTTTTATTTTTGATTGTTTAATTTATAGAAGTTTTTGTTTTTCGTTTTTTCAATTTTTCACTGTTTCGATTTTTAATTAATTAGGATTTTCAGGTTTCTATATTACAATTCTTTGATTTTTCAATTGTTTTTTTAATTATCCCATTGTCCAATTTCTCAATTTGTTCCTTTTTTGATTTTTCAATTTTTAAATTATTCGATGTTTCGAGTTTCATTTTTCAGTTTGTAGATCTCATTTTTGGGTTTTTTCAAGTATTCTTTATTTTTTCAGTTCTACGATTTCTTAGTTTTTTGATTTTTCTATTCAATTGAAAATTTCGGTTTGAATAAGTTTGTCCTTTTGTTGAACAATTAAAAAATGACAAATCGAGAAAATGAAAAAAAATCGAAAATTTGAAAAATTTCATATTAAAAAATTGTAGAATTTTTTCAATTTTTCAATTTCTCAATTTTAAATTGTTTTGTTTTTTGATATTTGAGTGTTACAATTTTCCGGTTTTTCAAAAGTTCAGTTTGAATAAATTTGTCCTTTGTTGAACAATTAAAAAATGCAAAATCGAGAAAATGAAAAATTAAAAATCGGGAATTTGAAAAATTTAATATCGAAAAATTGCAGAATTGCTTCTTTTGTAGATTTTTCAGTTTCTCGATATTTAATGAATCAGGGTTTAATTCAATTTCTCATTTTTTCATTTTTCGATTTGTCGAATTTCATTTTCCAATTTTTGATTCTCATTTTTTCGGTTTTTTCAATTTTTCTTTATTTTTTCAATTCTTCGACTTCTGAATTTTTAAATTTTTTGATTTTTCAATTTTATAATTTTTAGACGTTTCAATGTTACAATTTTCTGATTTTAAAATTTTTCAAAATTTCGGTTTGAATAAATTTGTCTTTTTGTTGAACAATTAAAAAATGAAAAATCGAGAATTTGAAAAATATTATATCGAAAAATTGCAGAAATGCTGCGTTTTGCCGATTTTTCAAATTCTCGATTTTTAATTGTTGCATTTTTCAATTTTTCGGTGTCTCGATTTTCATTTTAAAATTTTTGTATTCGTCAGTGTTTCAATGTTACAATTTTCCGATTTTCCAATAATTGAGTTTGGATAAATTTGTTCTTTTGCTGAAAAATAGAAAAACACGAAATTTAAAAATTAAAAAACTAAAAGATTAAAACTCAAAAAATTATAAAATCGGAGAACTAACAAAGCAAAAAATGAAATTATTGAAAAATCGTAAAATCGAAAACTGAAGAATCTGTAAAATTAACAAATCGGTGCCGATTAAAAAAATGCTCCCACACAATAATAAATATAAAAACAAATCGTATGGTTTTCAATAGAGTTAATTAATTTTTTTAGACTACAAGTGCTAAAATTTTACTAACATTTCATTTTTCAATAGTTGGTACTGTAGTTATGATAACTGCGCACTAAACTATAGTGTACAAAGTTTCCTAACATTCGTCAGACTCCTCGGGAATTTGCGCTGATAAAGTTTGCATTCTTATGGAAACAATGAAAAGTGCTTTAAATTATTTTGCAAAATTTCAATTTTTTTAGTAGAACGGACTGATAAAGTTTGTAATCTTATGTAAACAGTGAAAATACTTTAAATTGTTTCGCAAATTCCAAAAAGGACCAGGTTTAAAAATGTTGGGTACTATACTGATATGACCGATTTAAATATTCAGAACATTTTGTTCGATTTTGGTTTAATTAATAATTTTAGTCCAGTGTTTTGAGAAGACAAAGTCATTCAAATCAAACTATTTCCTACGTGACATTCTTTCGATGTAAGTATAAACATAAATAAACACTTGAGCGTCAAATTGCTATTACCTAGTGTTGAAGGACAAGGGTTGTTAGAGACGGATTATTTTAAGTTCAACATGGT